ATTATAAATATTATTTTTGTATAATGTCATATATAGTTTCGTCAGATTTTATGTAAATGGTGCACCAAAGTCCCTATATATCCTTCCATTTGCAGGAAATTTGGCATAACGTACTGAATTGAGCCTAGAGTGATGTCTACCAAGTTTTGAAAAAATCGGTCCTGATTTAGATAAAGCTCCCATATATAGTTTCCTGATTTCATGTAAATGATGCACCAACGTCCCTATATATCCTTCGATTTGCACGAAATTTGGCATAACGTACTGAATTGAGCCTAGAGTGATGTCTGCCTGGTTTCGTGAATATCGGCCTAGATTTAGATATAGCTCCCTTTTATTATAGATTGATTTTAAGTAATTGACGCACCAAGGAACCAATAGGAACAAAACGTTCTGAAGTTAGTATAACCTAACCTGTGACAAGTTTGTTTGAAATCGCTTAATATTTGGATAAAGCTTCCATATATATTTTCGCATATATAATTTATCATAACTGCTCATGTTATAGATTGACATCAAATTTTGCACAACTTACAAAATTTGCAATTATTTTCATAGAAGATATAGCCCAACGGATGACCTATTTATATTTGTTTGAAGTCGATCTACATACTTTTGTCCCATTGTAACAAACGAATGACATGTTTATGGATAGATCTAGGTGTTATGGTAGATCTAAATGTGAATCTACATTTAGATAAATATCACATATTTTATTTCATCCAATTTCATGTTAATAGTCCTGTTTAATATACCCATAGTGGTGAAGGGTATCAAATCACAGCACTTTAAACTGGTTTATTATAAATATTATTTTTGTATAATGTCAGGAATATACAACTCTTTGAAGGGGTCTTTTCATTCCCCTCCTTTCAAAAATTTTTGAAAACTCTTTTAAAAATCTTATAAATATAAAAACTCATTTTAGGGATAAACCCGATCTTATTCCCAGTTTGCACAATTTTTTCTTACTAGATGTCGTTTTAGAAAAGTGGCCTAAGGGACAAAAATATTTTCCATTAAATTTTAGTAGATGTCACTGAAAATGAGCAATCGGTATATATATATTTTATATAACGAATATACAGACGTCAATTTAGGACAAAAACAAAAAATATTTGCATATATTCTCTGAAGAATTAAAATGCTCTATATCAAATTTCAAACACTACGCGTCCTTTTCGGTATGTTCAAGGTAATAGTCCAACTTGATTGTGTGTATTTTGGTAATACGTTTTCTCTTAGACCGCAATATTTAACACACCTCTGAAAGAATTACCTAACTACAGAAACTTGGACCTACCAAAAAAGACGCGCGATGATTGAAATGATGTCTGAAATTAAAAATAAATAAATTTCGAATGGTGTAATATTTATTTCACGAAAATCCATCTATCAAATTTAAAAATCGATTCTTGTCTTTGCCCTCACCCCGCACCTTTCCAAAATTCTACAATAAATTTATGAATCACGTGGACGTCAATAATGCAGATGCCTTCGTTAATGTTGATGTTTGTTAAAATAATTACATGTAATAAAATAAAAATCATTTAGTGTAATAAAAATACACAAATAATTAAATGTAAACAATTCTAAAATAGCAATTTTTTTGTTTGTTTGCTATATATTTTTCGGACATATGTAAACATTTGCATATAATAGTTGGATCGTGAAATTATAAATTTGAAATATTTATAATTGAGAAACATTGATATGGCCAAATGAACAATGTAATGGTCGATGTGATTAATAGCATAACGAATGGTAAGAAGTGCATCCGACCAAGAATAAGACGCTTGGCTCTGGCAGCAGTGAATCGAACGTTGCAATATTTTAATATATCTAGAGAATCGGGGAAGAGAGCAACATTTAAACATTTGAAAATATTTTCTTTTGTATTTCAAACATTGTTTATGCCATACTATAATAATTTTCAATTTAAAATTCAATAATTTTAAAATATAGAAAACGAATATATATATTTTTGTTTAAGTTTGAACGTTTCTGCAATATTTCGCATCACTCATCACGGTGTGTGTGTGTGTGTGTGTGCGAAGGCTCTCCCTTGTTAATTGGCTCACGCCACTTCATTCTGCAGCCCAAAAGGCAAATCGATGTGGTTTCAGTGTGAAAAAAACTAGGGAGGGTAGTATTTGCAGAAGAAAATACGTGGGCAGACATATTTACGTATGTCTGTGTATAAAACAAAAAAGAGAAACACGTTTCAAAACAAAAATATATATACATACATATACGTATGTATAGGAATATACACAATCAAAACAAAGATCGATGTATTACTCAATTTTAAAGATTGGAAAATGGAAAACCCTAGGGTATTAGTTTATGTGATTTATACAAATATTTATATAACCAATATCACTGTGTGAATCATCAACATTATTTTATTGTAGACCTGATCATCTTTTAAATGAGATGAAGTGATTTATAAACGATGGAAGGTTAAGCTGGTGCTTAAATTCCTTTAGTGTATTGTAATTTTGAGTTCCGTGAAGATCTTTGACACGTTTTCAACCGGATTATCTATAGTTGGATATTTCGGTTTCTCATGGAAACAAACAAATGAAACATCGAAAAATGCGTAATTATTGCAAGAGCTCCATTCGGTTTATACGAAAACCGCATTAGCATCAACTGATTTCAACGAATACGCGAACTATATGATTTTATTTGTTGATAATTTTCATATACTGTAACTGTATAATGGTACGACTTCAACAAACCGAAAAATACGCGAGAAAAAGATGTTTGAAATTCTCAAAATATCTCATGGTGGGGCTACCGTTATATGCGGCTATAATGAAACGGAGATCAATATTGATATTTTTGGTAGTGAGATTTGGCAGCCAATGAGAATATAATATACAACACCACAGTCAATTCGGTTGATATTCAAATTCGGTTTCTCAAAATACTAACTTGGGTCAATATTAATAATTTCTAGTGCGGAGATGTGGTGGTACCGTTACGAGAACTCAAAATATCAAATTACAGCCAATTTGATTATACAACGTGTCAAAAACCCCCACATTGCGGGCCTACAACAATTAGAATACTTAGGGGCACCGTTATATGGGGCTGACTCGAAACTTGGGTCAATCTTAATAAATTTTGGTACTGGTATATGTTATTCAATTGGAACCCAAAATATAAAATTACAGCCAACTGGGTTGGAAAACCTGTCCAAAATCCCTAAAAGCACAGAGTATTGGAGAGTACCGTTATGTGGGGGCAATCCTGAAGCATGCGTCAATATTAATAATTTTTGGTACGGAGATATGCTATACAATGCGAACCCAAAATACCAAATTACAGCCAGTTCGATTGGAAAAAGTGTCCAAAATACCGTATATTTGGGAGTACCTTCGTATAGGGGCTACCTTGAAACTTAGGTCAGTGTTAATAATTTTTGGTACGAATATGTGTTATTAAATGAGAACCCAATATACCAAATAATAGCCTTCATATGGTGGCTATCCTGAAACATAAATAAAATAGTTTTAAATGAAAAGAAAAATAATTTGCAAAATTTGGTTGTGGCTGTTTTGTTGTTGTTTTTGGTGATTAAAGAAAAGTCCTTATATTTGATGGCGGGCATGATAACTCCTCACTGGAACATCGGAATCCGGAAATTCCAAGGGTGTTAGAAAGAGATCATGCCAGGCTCTCGTATGAACTAGGATTATTGACTTCGCTCAAAAATTTACAAAACGGTAGACCTTTAAAAAATGTTTTTGGAAATTCGGATATTTTTTTACCATAAACTATGTTAAAAAATAAGGAAGTTCTTTATCGATTGGTGTTATCATAGTTCATACGAGAGCTATACACTCCCAGAGAAACGTGTAAAAATTTGGAACCGATTGAATTATTAGTTTTTGAGTTATCGTGCCCGCCATTAGTAAAATCACTTCTTCGAGAAAAATGCTTTTATAGTTTTAGAATCACTCTTGCCCTCAATTGATGCTGACACAATAAATCGGCTATATCTTAAAGAGTTTTTGAGATTTTCACTTAAATTAGTGTAGTTTCGAAAAACTAAACTAAAAAAATTCCCAATTTGCATAAAATGGATAGAAACCAATTCCAATATATTTCGTCATTGGACCAAATAAACGAGCTGTGCGACCTGTACTTGGTTTACAATTTTAATTATATCAACAGACGACAGACATGCATATATGGACTCAGCTTACTTGTGAGTGAGTTTTTGACCAAAAACAACCCCGTTGTCATGCCTCAAGCACAATATTCATCGGACTTGAACCACGCTGTTTTTTCTCTCCAAAACAAAAGACACCAATGAAAGGAAAGCCTTTTGGTGCGATTAATGAGATAAGGAGTACTTTGAAGTAGGGCCGCCTGTTTCTTCGGTAGAATTGGTCTTATGGCGACTTTTTGCGTGCAGTCTTCGGGGAAATTCGAAAACCGAACTGGATAAGACGAATTAAACTAACATCCTTTTGGCGAGGAATTTATGGGTACTTCGACGTACAGCCTTAAAACGCAGCCTGAACTAAATTGAAATGGCAACCGTAATTAAACTCTTCGATATACAAAATATATAAATTTAGATACACCCTATATAACTTCAATGAATCTTGTTCTAAATATTCCGGAAAGAAAATATTTTTAATTTATTCAAATCATACTGACGTCTTTCAGTATATAATCGATGTAACATGGAACACTTTCTTCTGCATATGAATATTTTATCATAAGCTAAAACGTTCATATATACATATAAATATAATTAAGAAAATAGCCACTTGAAGCCTATTAATCATTTCTAATAATCCAATACCTAAATGGATGCACGTGCGTACATCTTTTTGTTATAAACAATTAATTTTTTTTTTGAAAAGCAAAATGTTTTTCTATTTGTGGGTGTGTACTAGATTTTATTTTGGTTATTTTTTCGTGTTAGCAAAAGCATTTCAAACTTAAAATTAAAATCATAGAATAAAATTAAATGTTATTTTTGTTGTTGATAGATTGTTCAAACGCCATACCTTAAGCTTTTTGTTGTAGACGTCATCCCAATTCAAATCTTTAAACCATCGATGCCTTTTAACGTCATCAGCCCCATTCTGCAAAGATAGAAAACATGGCAAATACAATCGGTTATACATATATGTATATATTTAAATCAATAAAGTAAATAAATAAATAGAAAAACATTGAACGTAAATGGAAAAGAAAACATAATTTAGAAGCCGCAATCATCATTAATTATCATTCGGACAAGTCTAAGTATCTATATACGTATGAATGAAATTCATCTACACATCTAAGGATAACTTTTTTTCTTTCAGTTTTGAGAATGTTATTATACAAATTGTTTATCTGTCATTCTGTCAAAGTGAGAAAGATAATGGCTCAAATATTTAAAAAAATATTATGCACTGAACTTTTGCATAATATTTTTTACAACTTATGATATAACTAGCAAGTGAAGCTGTATGGTCGGTCGGTTTACACAATGTTATACCCTAGAGGGCAACCTCTGAACTATATATTTTTGCTGATTTAAATATGTAGACCTCTGTAAAATATAGTTGATATCAAAATGTCCACTTTTATACACTGTCACACTACGTATATGAAGTTCGAATATCCGGAGGGAACATAAGAGTAAATATATGTTTACGGAATAAAAATGTTGATAATTGACCTACTAAATGTTGTCCATATAATCCCTAAAATATTAACCGATGATTTCAAAAAATAAATTCAATATACAGTGACAATTAAAATTTACAAAAAATTACATTCGAAAAAATAGCAATCCATTTAAGAGTTTTGAAACATATATATAAAATAAATAAAATTCGATTTATGTACTGAAAACTTAATCATTCGCTTGATTTAAATTAGAAAATCATGCAAAAATTAGACTTAAATTAAATTTTATTTCTTTAAGACGTGTACTCTGCACTTCAACACATTTGCGAATACTTTTACTTAATTTCACCTAATAATTTAATGAATTAAGCCTCTTTCACATCGAACAGAGTACTTGCCTTCCGATAGAATTATTTACATTATTAAAATAAAAGCTCGATAGATGTGTCAAAGTTTACTCACTTTGATTCTGTTCAATCCAGAAGCAACTGTCGTCGCAGTTTTAAATTTTTTCTAAGAAAAATATGAAGTTCAAATTATTTGTCTAATGTGATTTAAAAAAACAAACAGAATGAATGAAAAGGATTCTGAAACGTTTGGATTGTTTTTATTGACAGCTGGTGGTATATTTACACTTTCAGTTTTAACTTCAGGTATTAATATACATGACGGATCAGAAAAGAAAATTTTATAGTCGGATGGTGTCAACCATTTGATACTCTATCCATTGGACCTCCAAATACTGACCTATCATTCAGAAAAAAGGAATGCTTATGCCTACAACAGCTCTGATGTTTAGTGTAAAACATTATATCATAATTGAAGGGAAATATAAACATATTTTATCCTTTGTTTATATGGGAAAATGAAAAACCAAATAATAGGTTGGAGAACTGGACTAGGAACACCAACGTACGGAAAATTAATCGGGGGCCTTTGCATGTAAACCGATAATGGGGTGATGGCCTTATAACTTGGACCGGTATTAATTTTTTATGGGAAAAGCTGATACTCCGTAATTAGCAATCAAAACCCACCCCAGAGATTGTCATTTCTCTTCCCAATGTGACCAAAATATTAGATTGGAGCTAATTCGGTTTAAAAACGTGCCAAAAATAACGAAAAAGGGGTCCAATATTGATAAGTGACCCAATAGGAAGATGCGCTACCCAATGGGCATTCAAAGGGCCTAATTACATCAAAATTGAAAAAGTGCCCAAACTCCATAAAATACTGAATAATGGGAGTAACTCTCTATGGAGGCTTCCCCGAAACATGAACTAATATTGATAACTTCCGGTAGGGAGATTTTCTACCCCTAGATGGAGACTATCCTAAAAGATGAACCACTATTGATCATTTTCGGTAACAAGATTTGCTACCCAATGAGAACTCAACATATTAAATTTCAATTGCAGTAGTAACAATGTATGTGCAAAATTTCAATTCTCTATCTTAAGGGGACCGCCCCCCATTCTCGGGGTCAAAAATTTTTTTGATTTAATTCGAATCTACACTAATTCAAGAATGTCCCTGGCGGGCACGATAACTCAAAAACTAACAACCCAATCGATTCTAAATTCTTACACGTTTCTCTGTGAGTCTATAGCTATTGTATGAACTAGGATAAAGCCAATCGGCAAAGATCTTCCTTATTATTTAACTTGGTTTTTGGTCAAAAATCGGCGATTTTCCAAAAATATTTTTTCAAAGGTCCGCCATTTTGTTAATTTTAGAGCGAAGTCAATAATCCTAGTTCATACGAGAGCCAGACATGTACTCTAACACCGTTGGAATTTCCGGATTTCGATGTTCCAGTGAGGAGTTATCATGCCCGCCATCAAAAATAAGGACTTCTCTTTAATTACAAAAAACAACAACAAAACAATTACAAAATTTTTTTTTGTAAATTATTTTCCTTCTCTTTTAAATCTTCAAATATATATGTGCAAAGTTACAAACCTTAACAAGCATTGGTATTGATTTACCAGCACATTGAAAATCTTGAAAAATTAAAATCGTGAGAAGGGGGGGGGGGGGTTCCCTTAAATATTCTCTATCGGACAGACGGACATGCATAAATCGACATTGAATTTTATTTTAATCGGTAGACAATCTGCTTTGAAAGGACTTACTCCATTGTAAGATTTTGGGAAGTTCTGAGCGTCAATACTCTTAACCAACTCTACACTGGTGATACAAAATTCGCGTATGTATTTTCCAAATTATTTCGATATATGTACATGTTTAATACAATATATAAAACAAGTGTTGATACGAACAATAAACCCAACTGAATGTTTAACATTGTATGCTTATGATTGTTCTAACGATGTAGGACATGTAAGTAAAAAGAAGAATGGAGATAAGACACAAAATCAGAAGAAAAAAAAAACAGAAGAAAAAAACCAAAAATTAAAATAGACAAATTAAAACGACCAGAGTTTCTGTGCCATAGAAACCTGCCATAAAACAAACAACACTCCAAAGAATGCACTATGCAAACTATTCATATAATATACTATTTTTTCTATGTACAAACAAACACGCGATTCCTGTAATTTAATTATTTTATTGTATCGCAGGCCAAAACTTTACGTTGCTGTAATAATTGTACATATTTTACCATATCACATTTATTTAATAAATGTTCAGGGTTTCAAAGGTTTTTTTATATTATTACTAAACTCCAACTTATTCAGGAGTATTAAAATTTACACTTTGATAAAAAGTACCTATTTCCGCATAATTTATATTTTTGTTTCTATATTTCAGATTTCTAATATAAATTTCTGTTTTTGTGCTTGCATTAAGAATAAATTTAAAACAGCATTGCGGTCAGCTAAACATTTCAACAACACCTTTTGTTGGTATTTGCCTGATTTTGTTATGACTGTAAAACAATATTTTTTCTTGTTTTAATTGGCAAATAACAATTTAATACGTTAGTCTAATTATTACTGATAAGCTTTCAATTTGAAAAATAATAACAGAAAATTGATTTAATTGGAATTGTAGAGAGGTCATATTTTATATTTAAAAATATATTAGATAATGTAGTTTCAATTTTCCACATCGCAGTTTCAATTATTTCATTTTTGTAATATTTCAGTATTATTGTTTATAATATTTCGACCGGCCACTGTCTACAATTAATTTCAAATTTTATAAATCATATGAAAATGTTCACAAAATGTTGTAAAATAAAAACTATATACATATATTTTGTGTACATTAGATGTTGCACACGTTTTCCTGGCATGTTACAATCGTTGTGATTTTGTGCTTCATGGCCTTTGATGGCGGTCGCAAGCAAATATGTGCCAGCGCCGCTTACATATTATCAAAAAAAAAAAAAAAAATAGCCTGAAATTATATTAGAACATCTATTTTTGGTCTACTGCAATAAACACAATAATTAATTATAGAAATGATTTGTTAAATCGATGCATTTAACATCTTCATGTGTAGGCTGACATATGGAAGCAGGTTTGAACTTTTGTATAAGGTGTTCAAAATAATATATGGGTGATACAGATAGACATGTAAAATGATGTAAGTAGACAAATTGTTATGTCAATATCTAAGAAGGTGTTAAGTTCGGCCAGGGCGAACTTTTTATACCCTTCAACATAGGGACAGCGATATTTATTTGAAATGAAGTTTTCAGCCGCTCTTGGGGTTTTTCGTTATTGCAATGAATATTATTGGAAAGTGTAGCTAAAACATCAGAAGAGAAAACATGGATATATATATATATATGAAGATACACCACAATGTGGACTTAAACCTACCTTTATTTTTTCAAATGTTGTAACCCACTGGCACATTATCTTTTGATTAACATTTCACCTTTTCAAAATATCGAAGCGCTTCCAAATGTAAGTTCAATCGTTTGATTAAAACAAAAAACAGTACTATTATTATTTGAAAATCCCCTTCAAAGATTGTCGGATCCGCATTTGCTTTCGCAAATGAATGTTATTAATGTACATCGGATAATGAGAAATATTACATATTTATGGTAAATATTTCAGACGAATCCGACACTTCTGTATAACCTGGAAGTTTTTCGTACAAGGAAAAATGATGAAAACATACGAATATCGTTTTCTTGTCTTTGAGGACTCAATCTAAAATTATATGAGCGCCATTTATGTAATATATTTGGATATAACAAATCTAGTCTTGTGATAGTTTGCAGTTTGTGATAGTTTAGTTTGAAAATTGGGAAGAAAAATAACCTGCAATAGCCACAAACAAATATATAAAGCCTTTTGTTCATGAACCTAGAGTTAACTGTGAAATGCTTCTCACGTCATAACTCAAAACTTGACCTATGACGAATTTGCCCGTCTGAGGTCTTTATATGTTCACCAAGGTCTTTCTTCGCCATAATGACTTGTCCACCCCAGACCATGAGCTTATTTTTGTGTTACAGTATAATAGAGGAATCTGGATAATTTATGTAGGGAAATTTATTACCCAAAAACCCTAAAATATCAAATTACAACCAATTCGGTTGAAATATGTGTCCCAATTATCGAAAATTGGAAATTCTCAGCCTAATTAGAATTTTAATGTAGAGTCGTTCAAATACATATACAATATTTTTTGGTTAATTGCACATCAAAATTTGCACAATTTTTTGTTCAATTAACCGAGAAACCAATTATCCGATACCCGCTTAATTGAACTGCTTGTTCAATTATAGAAATCACACCTTCGCTTTCTCGCGGTTTTTCCTTAGCAATAAACATATGTTTTCAATTAGTATAGATGTACCCTACTGTTATTCATTAATGATGTCAAATATGTACGTAAAACGAATAAGGAAAGTAATAAAGTCGGACTGGGCTTACTATATGATAACCTTCAACACCTTGGTGTGTTCTACATACATATCCTAATAGACGACGTTCTTCGAAGGAACATCGACATGGATATTATGTGAACCGACTAACATTATATGTCATTCTACAACCTATGCTAAATTTCAAATTGGGAGTTTGATGCTCCATTTACATAAAATCGGTAAATGGGAGCTATAACCAAATTTGAACCTATTTTTCCCAATATCAATAGGGTTCGTCTTTGGACCGAATATAAGAGGAATATAAGAGGAAATTTATTTTTGATGACACGAATTTTGAACCAATTAAACGGGAAAATCTATTAACAGGGATTAATTTTCCGAGGAAATTTATATGTGTTTTCGTATGCAATATGTTTTGCCCCATCATGAGGTTCAATTAAGCATGGAAATCAATTAACCGTAGGGTCAATTAACCGAAAATTACTGTATCACATATCATTCTAAACTCAGTTCAGTACGCTAAATCGAAATACATATAGGCACTTTGGAACACCATTTACATTAAATCGAATATATGGAAGCTATATCTAAATCTGAACCGATTTTCACCAATTTCAATAGGGTTCGTCCTTCGGCCAAATAAATGTGCTCTACCAAATGTCATCCAAATCGGATTATAAATGCGATCTGTGCTTTGTTTACAACTTAACAATAACAGACGGATGGACATTCATAAATCGATTGCAAATGTGATTCTATGCATATTCTCAAAAGGAACTATGCGTCTATCTCGTTTCCTTTTGCCTGTTACAAACGTATGCACATAGAAATAATACCCTGTACAACAGTGTGGTGAAGGGTATAAAAAATGTCTGTGCAAAACTTAAACTTTGTAACTAGATTTCTTCGGTAGTTTATTGTTTACAGCGACGACGCACATTCGTATATCGTCTTACGCATTTTCTATTAATGCTTCATGTAATTTATTTAAAAATCATAATCTGTCGATGTATACAAAAATAAAATGTTCAACCTTCATCAACAATAATTCCCTTATCATTGAAAGAAAAACAATCATGCAGACGATTTAACTTAATGTGTAAATATGTTGTATGTAAGTTGTAAAAAACAACGAAACATAATTACAAAAGCAACTAAAATTTTGTTTATACTGACCTTCATGTTGCCCAAGCGTTTTGTTCGATCATTTGTTAACAGTTTCTTAACTAAGTCTTTGGCTGAGGGATCTATGTGACGTGGCCATTCAATTTTGCCGCCCAATATCTTTTCATAGATACCAAATGGATTTTCATCATAGAATGGCGGATAGCCAACCAGCATTTCATAAATCAAAATGCCTAAATGCGAACATAAAATTGAAATAAATAAGAAAATAAATCTACAATTATTTCACACACACCACTGATACGTACCCAATGCCCACCAATCGACGGCTTTATTGTGTCCCTTGGATTGTATAATTTCAGGTGCCAAATATTCGGGTGTGCCGCACAATGTCCAGGTTCGATCCCTCAACTTTTTGGCAAAGCCAAAATCTGTGATCTTCAAATGGCCATCACGATTAATGAGTAAATTTTCTGGCTTTAAATCTCTGTACACAATTTGCAATGAATGTAAATATTCTAAGGCCAATACGATTTCGGCGGCATAAAAGTTTGCTAAATATTTCAGAAAGTGAGAAGGAGAAGAAGAAAACAAAATAGAACATGCCATTAGGGTTTTATTGCTAACAGCAGATGACGTAAATGCTAATGCACTCTTAACCAAGTGATAATTGATAACTTACATGTGGATCTATTAAATTTACCGGCATTTCTTAAATATGTGAATAATTCACCACCACAGACATATTCGAAAATCATATACAGACAACAATCGTCTTTAGTGGACCATTCTCTAAAAAAAGAAAAACAAATAATTAAATATCTATGCATGATTCAAAATATTAAACGTGAATTAAAACGATCGATCAATTGGAAATTTTTTAATCAGGCCTATATATAAGGAGTGGATTTTGAAGGGCATTCATAAGGCGTGGATTTTTAAAAGAATATTTTTAAGGACAAATACAAGGCGTGGATGTTTAAAAAAATATTTTTTAAGGACAAATAAAAGCCGTGGACTTTTAAAAGAATATTTTTAAGGACAAATACAAGGCGTGGATTTTTAAAAGAATATTTTTAAGGACCTATTTAATGCGTGAATTTTTAAAAGAATATTTTTAAGGACATACATAATGTTTGGATTTTTAAAAGAATATTTTTAAGGACATACATAATGTTTGGATTTTTAAAAGAATATTTTTAAGGGCCTATATAAGGCGTGAATTTTTAAAAAAATATTTTTAAGGACATACATAAGGTTTGGATTTTTAAAATAATATTTTTAAGGACATACATAAGGTTTGGATTTTTAAAAGAATATTTTTAAGAAAATACATAAAACTTGGATTTTTTAAAAAATGGTTTTAAGGACATGGAAATATGCATAAATGATTTTTGGTAATAAATATCAGTTATATTAAAATTTTGACAATATTCTCAATATATAAATTTTAAAAAATGTGTTAATTTTTTCAAAATACTTACAAACTTATAACAAAAGGATGTCTAATTTCCCGCAATATGTTACGTTCATTTTTCACATGTTCAATCTGTTTCAAGCGTATAACATCGGCCATGGCCAACAATTTCATGGCACAGTACTTTCCAGATATTCGATCACGACACAGACATACCCGACCAAATGTTCCGGTACCTAAAAATAGATAAAATGGAAAACAAAAGCCATTAGAAAGAAATTCATTTTGCTAAGAGTGGGTAGAAATCGGAGATAAATGCTAACGTTAATTGAAATGTGGTGAAATATTGTGGTCAATACATACAAATTGCCATACACTTTATGTACATCAACATAGCGAATTATATGAAAAACAACAACAACAAAATGATCAACGAATTAACAATTAAAATGACCACAACAATAAATCGGTCAAGTATGGAGATTTTTTTGTTTGTCTTTTTTATTTGTGGTAAAAATGTGGTTTTATTTCTTAAAAAATATAAGAATATGTGCGTATATATGTATGATTAGGAATTGAACAATTTTTATAGAGATTTATAGGTGTGGTGACAGGAAAATTTGAAAATATTCCAGACACATTCGAAATGAGACAACATAACCAAGGATATACCAGAAGGAGGAGACCAATGAGTCCCATCTTCAAACTTGATCTAGGCTTGGTAAAGATATTACGATGTTCAGGGTTTGGATCAAATTTGGCATTTCATTCACTTGATATTGGATTTAAAAGATTTAAAGATTTAGACTCTTTATGGGTAGGTACTGGAAGGAGTTGATCGATAAACCCCATCTTTTGTTATTATTACATTATAAAATTAATTAATTCATATTTTACTAAATAATAAAAATAATGAATATGTCGTTGAGAGGTTTTTTTTCCAAAGTATAAATAATTAAGACGATTTCCGAATAGTCTAAAAATCGAAAACTTTAGGTATTGTCCAAAATCGAAGCAAAAAAAAAAACAACAACAGTGAGCGGAGCAGTATTGTTGGAGCCTGGGCATTATTTCGAGATGTCTGGTCCCCCTTGACCGATTATAGGTAATCAGCTCCACCTTATAACCCTGGCATATTTTCCAAATATTGTTTTCGCGAGGTGAATATTTGCGCCATAAAAAAATTTGGTCACTTTAGGTTTTGGTTGATTTGACCCTCGGAATATTGACCGTTTTATGAATTTACAGATCTCTTCCACCATATAAATTATGTGATGTTCTGCACATAGGTAATAGTATCCAGAACGACTAGAAAATCTGACAAAAGCTTTCGATTCATTGCACCCCTAAAAACCATCTTAACATCACCGAACATTATAGGCGTCGTCCGTGGCCATTACCGCAACTTCATGTAAAATTTCAGAAAGCGATCAGCGCGACATTTCCGCCCTCTAGTGGGGTAATAGTAATACTAAACAATATCATAACACATAGACACCTTTAAATATTTACGTATAACTCCCACATCCGAGTACATACAAAATGCAAAATGAATGCAAATTTTGTCATTTTCACACAAAAGTCTTGCTCCATTTGAACTGCTATATATTGACCGATCTTGCTCAAAACAGTCATATTTATTCTTTGTCCAGATTCCCTTCCTGGTGTAAAATTTCTTGGTGTTTGGGTCATAAGAGCGGCCAGAAAAACATACAAAAATAAAGTTTTTGGTCCACTTCTTCCCCTTAATATTATCCGATTATTGCCAAAAACAATAGGGGTATTTTTTGGCCAGAACCAGTCCTACATGCAAAATTTCATAGCGATTGGTCCTTAATTGTAACGTGTTTACAAATAATAATGGACAGACGGTCGCACACACATATCTAGATAGACTCCGCCAGCCGAGATATGACGATCGAGTCTAGGACCAATTTTTCGCGGCGTAGTAAATTCTTGAGGCCACACGAAGCTACGATACCCTGTAGGGTACAGTAGTTGTGTAGGGTATAAAAATAAATTGTGTTGTCGCATTTTTTTATTTTATAACGTTTGCCGAAAAAAGTCGAAAATTGCTTTATAACTGATTTGACAGATGAAAACGACAATCCAACGGAAATATATATGGAAGTTAAATTTAAATCTAAGCCGATTTCAAACTCAACTCAAATCATGCTAGGCTCAATTAGCCACCCCGAGCCAAAATTCGGCTCAATCAGGCTGCTCCATTTAGATCTAATCGGTTGACAATATGTACAAGAGCCATACCTAAATTTGATCATTTGATTGAACTGATTTCAATATAAATTAAAAACGACATCATTTAAGACCTATTTCGCTACTCTGTGCAAATTTCGTCTCGTCTTACATAAAATCAGACCAAAATATATATGGGAGTTATCCAACAAACTTTGGATCTTTGGTACATCATTTACAAACATTGTGACTTGGTTGAATTATTTTGAGTCGGGCAAATCAATATATAAAAACTATATCTAAATCTGAACAGATATTCTTCAATTTCGATAGGGTTCGTTCTTAAGACAAATATAATGAGTTGTGCCAAATTGTGTAGGGAGGTTTCCCATTCCGCAAGATTCCGCTCAATACCGGGCGATAACATTATAAAATCATTATTTTAAGCGGTCATTTAGAAAATCAGAAAATGTCTTCCATCATTTGGCAGAGGATTGACTTCCCAAACATAAATAAATAATTTAATTTTTCAATGCCGAAAGTAATTCATATTCATATAATTTATTCATATTTTTGACAATTCAATTTCATGTATTATTGATCGGAAATTGATATTTCGTTCAACTCTTTTCGTTTCATGCAAATTTTGGATTTCCAATCGATCACGTTCACTAGATATTATCTTTGTAATACCAAAGTATTTTTTTGTATTTCTTTGTAAAATGTTCATTAATTTTCCTTTGTCATGGCTGAGATGAAAATTCAATTCAATTTTCTTGCCATTAACATCAACAACAACTACAAAACAAACAAGAAGATTGATTCGAATCGTATTGTATTTCGCTCGCTTAACCAAATTTTCTCAGCCTTGAATTGCCACCAATTAAATGTGGCAATGCATTTTCGATGATGCTGTTCATGTGTGTGAAGTTTATGAACTTGAACACAATTCCGAAATCGTATTAGCAACGCTTTGTTTCAAATAATAGGTAAAAAGAAGGCAATTAGACTATTTGTTTCTATGCTGTATTTTCCACAATAATTTATGCCCAGATTTAATAATGCTACTTTGCAGGAAATCTGCTTTATGTGAACAATACAAATATATTTATGATTACTTTTCGACATTAATTGCAATTATTATTTAATAGAATATAAATTGAAATATGCTGCTTGTGTGTTTTTCGGATTTTATTCGCTCGCGTAATTGGATTGCCATAAAATATTAAATACAAGTTCTCTACAATGTTGTAATAAATTTTCAATTATTCGTTCGTTCACTTGAGAATTTCTCACGGAACACACAGACCAAAAGTCGACCGGCCGGCCGATCGAACGGTGCAATGTACTTTTTCATAATAATTAGATCATTTACGTAAATAGCCAATAATTCAAAATAATAGGAAATATTCCATAAGGTTCGTTGTTCTATATCATGTGAGGCTGTTCAATATATCGTTGGCTAATTGCAAAAAATATAAATATTTTGTTTGCCACATAGGGTAAAGATAATTTGTTAGTATTTTTCTTTTATTTTCTGTTTTCTGAAATATACTTCAAAAATTTATTTACAAAGTTTTCTTACTATTTTCTATAGAAGAACGAGCAAACAGTTTGTAGGGGACTGTCAAATAATTTTGTTGGATGTGATAAATTAAGAATGAGCGGTGATTAATTATCTTTTAGTTTGTAAAAAGCTATATATATATATATATATTTCAAATAAGAAAAGAAACTGTATTCATAAAAACTATTTTCCCCTTTGAACATGACAAACTTCGAGAATTATTTGTTAATTACGAAGAATTGTAATTCTTTAGTTACAGATTTAGGCTCATATTTAAAACATAACTATTTTCTTTGAATCGAGTGACCCTTTACCAGATGTTTCTATTAGAATATTTGAATAAAATATGCGCACATGTTAATAACTAATTCTTCGCGCAAAAAAATCACAAAATGTCCGGTTTCTTAAGCCTGAAGGTCTAAAAGAATAAATAAAAACAATAAATAATATATATGTACGCTATTTTTGTAAATGTTCTTTTGCAAAATATATTTATTAAAAAAAAACAATACTTTGTATGTATAAGTTAACGGTTGACGTGGATAGCTTTAGCCGGTAAAGCCCTGTCATTCATTCATCCATCAAAATGTGTGCTAAATTAGTGACATGCGAGACATTTGCTTTAATTATTTTAAACAAATGACAAAGGAAATTATTTTGCCAGCATCTATAGCTAAAATTATATTATTAATATATTCATTTGGTAAGTAGTCGATAATTTTTGGAGACATAAAAATGTCGAGGTCATTTATGTGATATTAAGTCCAAAATTTTCATTCACACTTATTTATGGAAATTTTTGAAATTTTAGTGTTGAGAAAATTTGGATAGTGATGGTGGATAGATATGGTGGTACTCATATCCCTTGCTCTTGCTGACAAGGTGAGCCATTTTAGATGTTAGGTTAATTTTCGACAGTTGTTTTAAAATCGTTAGCGTATGTTTTGGCATTTTTGCAAAAAATGTGCCAAACACTATAAAAATAATCAGAAAAATCGTTTCTTAGAGCCGATTTTACACAGCCTTGACTCATATGACGAATTACTTTGAGAAACCTTCCATAAAATTGAGAGAATAAAACAAAATACGCATTAAAGGATCCTACAAAAACTTCATACAATTGTTGGGGTGAGTCAGTCATTACTTTGAAAATGTTTGTTAAATTTTATTAAAAGTACAAACCATATTTTAAGTAAACCCCAAAATTCGGACGAAGGTTAGCTGAACTTTTTAAAAATCGTATCAAAAAGCGATTCAAATTATATTCGCTAAAGATACTGCTCTACACTGTACCCTATACTTATCGAAAGTAAAGAAAACACACTTACACATAAAATTACAAAGTACGGTACAAGTTTATTTCATGAAAATTTAGATTCGGTATTTTGGAGACGTTCCAACCGAACTGGCCGTTATTTGGTATTTTGGGTTCTCATTGAATAACAAATATAAGTTCCAAAATTATTTATATTA